GAAAGGGAAGGGAGGGAAGGATGGAAGGAAGGAAAGAAGGAAGGAAAGGAAGGAAGGAAGGAATAACAGAGTTGGAAGGGACTTTGTACGTCTCCCCCCCCCCTTATTTTCCTCTCCAAAAACTAAGCCTGACCACGTAGTTGCGTAGCAAAGCACGGGTATCCAGCGAGTATATAAATAGGAGCCGTATTTGCTCCCTCCACCCTATCCTTGACAAGGCCTTTCTCAAAACTGGTCTCAGGGGGCTGATGGGCTTTGTTTCCTTCGCCCTGCAGCGGGCAAGTCCTGGGTCGCCGATGTTTCGAGGCTCGGATCTGCGCCTGCCCGGGCCGGGATCGCAAAGCGGACGAAGACAGCATTCGGAAGCAACAGGTCTCCGACGGCACAAAGAACGGCGACGGTACGAAGCGCCGTAAGTAGCCAGAAGCAGTTAACCCTCACGACAGCGAGTTTCGAAGCTTTGTCCCCTTGAAGGTAGGCCGGACTAACAACTCGTCCCGGAATTCCTTGGCATCGATCACATGCCGTTGGAGGTGTGTCTCATTCTGACCTGCTTACTCTCTTATCATCCCTTTCTCTGTGATTTATCTTTGCTTCATCTATTCTATCTTTCTGTCCCTCTATCTATTCTATCTCTCTCTCTTTCTCTCTATCTATTCTACCTCTCTTTCTCTATCTATTCTATCTATCTATTCTATCTTTCTGTCCCTCTATCTATTCTATCTCTCTCTCTTTCTCTCTATCTATTCTACCTCTCTTTCTCTATCTATTCTATCTATCTATTCTATCTTTCTGTCCCTCTCCCTCTATCTATTCTATCTCTCTCTCTTTCTCTCTATCTATTCTACCTCTCTTTCTCTATCTATTCTATCTATCTATTCTATCTTTCTGTCCCTCTCCCTTTATCTATTCTATCTATCTCTCTTTCTCTCTATCTATTCTACCTCTTTTTCTCTATCTATTCTATCTATCTCTTCTATCTTTCTGTCCCTCTTCCGCTATCTATTCTATCTATCTCTCTTTCTCTCTATCTATTCCACCTCTCTTTCTCTATCTATTCTATCTATCTCTTCTATCTTTCTGTCCCTCTTCCGCTATCTATTCTATCTATCTCTTTTTCTATCTATTCTACCTCTCTTTATCTATCTATTCTATCTATCTATTCTATCTTTCTCTCCCTCTCCCTCTAACTATTCTATCTACCTCTCTTTATCTATCTATTCTATCTATCTCTTCTATCTCTCCCTCTCCCTCTGTCTATTCTATCTCTCTTTCTCTCTATCTATTCTACCTCTCTTTCTCTATCTATTCTATCTATCTCTTCTATCTTTCTCTCCCTCTCTCTATTCTATCTATCTCTCTATCTATTCTACCTTTGTTTATCTATCCATTCCAGGGGTCTTCAAACTTGACAGCTTTAAGACTTCAACTCCCAGAATTCTTCTGAGGCTTGTGGACTTCAGCTCCCAGAATTCCCCCTTCCAGTCATGTTAGCTCAGGAATTCTGGGAGTTGAAGTCCACAAGTCTTAAAAGCTGCCAAGTTTGGGGACCCCTGCTTTAGCAGATGGGAGAAGAAGAAGGAGAAGAAGAAAAGATCAGGCATAGCTAGCTAGGGAATTCTGGGAGTTGAAGTCCGCCCGTCTTCAAGAGGCCAACTCTGAAATACGCTGATTTAGGAGAAGGTCAGCTCTTGACTGGGTTTGGGGCTTGAAACCCCCCAAACAGCTGCATTTTGTGTTTATGGGCTCAGTTTTGGGCCAACCCTCACCTGCTTGCATCGTTTGTGTCGTCCATCATTTTGCCCAAATGGGCCACACGAAGCCATTTCCTAACCAGGTTTGGCATTTGTGTGAAGGCAGCTCGGGTGTCGGCCGGACGGGAGGGAGAAGGTTCCCTCAGCCAGTCCGAACTTGTAGGATTGTACTCACTGAAGTGGTGGAACAAGCAACAATTAACCCAAAGTGAAATGCTGGATAACAGCGTCAATCAAGGCAGTGTAAACAGTCCCATAATCCTGTTGCTAATAGAGCCAACTTCCGTGTCAGAAGAAAAGGAAAAAAAAAAAAAAGATAAAAAATACCTGTGGTTTGGAGTGGACCAAAAAAAAAAACAAGCTACGGTGTCAATTAGAACTGACCAATGTTAATGGAGCCTCCATTGGTCAGGTCAGTCTACCTTTAATTAGCAAGTGATGGGATAATTTTCATCTTTTCTGGGTTTTGAGATGGACTGGGGGAAAAAATAGAAAGCAAGCTACAGTGTCCATTAGGACCCGGCGAATGTTAATGGAGCCTCCATTGGTCAGGGCAGTCTATCTCTTATTAGCACCTTGCCCTTGGAAGTTGTGGGAGCGCCATCCCTGGAGACTTTCAAGAAGAGATTGGACTGCCATCTGTCAGGAATGGTGTAGGGTCTCCCGCTTGGGTGGGGTGGGGGTGGGGTTGGACTAGATGACCTACAAGGTCCCTTCCAACTCTGATTATCAGTAATCAGCAGTGATTGGATAATTTTCATCTTTTCTGGGTTTTGAAATGGACTTGGGGGGCGTGGGGACAAGAAACAAGCTACGGTGTCAATGAGGACTGACCAATGTCAGTGGAGCCTCCTCTGGTCAGGGCAGCCTACCTGTTATTATTACCAGTGACTGGATAATTTCCATCTTTCTGAGTTTTGAAATGGACCGGCCAAAAAAGAAACAGGCTACTACAGTGTCCATCAGGGGCAGAGGTGGGTCTTCAGCAGGTTCTGTCCAGTTCTAAAGAACCGGTAGCAGAAATTTTGAGTAGTTCGGAGAACCGGCAAATCCCACCTCTGACTGGAGATTTTACACTATCCTTCCCCTGCCAAAAATTCAAAAAAATTGAATTCCACCACTGATTAGGGGCCCGATGAGTGTTAATGGAGCTTCGACTGGTCAGGGCAGTCTACCTCCTTTTACCACTGGCTGGGTAATTTCCATCTTTCCGGGTTTTTTTCTGGCAGGTAAAAGGAACTTTCTCAAAGCTATGTGTTTCCCGGTGGAGGAAAATAGAGGCAGTCCTCAATTTCATGACCGGTCGCTTCGAAGTTACAACGGACACCCCCCACCCCTCAAAAGGCACTTATGACCTGGTTCTGGGGTTCTGACAGCCACAGCCACACACACACACACACACACAGCACATGGCCACATTTCGGGCGCTTGGCCACTGCCCCACATCTACAACCAATCACAGTTGGTCACGTGAACCTGATTTATGTTTTTTTTTGGGGGGGGGGGGGGAAACTGATCCGGTTTTTGGCCAAAACACCCAATGGCGAACAATACATTTGCTTAACAACGGCCACGTTCGTTTAACGACTTCTGCGAAAATTTTACTGGTCGTAAAATCAGGACGGCCATGAGTTGAGCTGCTTTATGACTTGTCTCAGACTTACGACCATAGTGGGCAGGCTCCATTATGGTCATAAGTCGAAGACTACCTGTAGGGATGTGGTGATTGACTGCAGAGGGTCTCCAGAAGTGGCCACTTTTAAGACTTGTGGACTTCAATTCCCAGAATTCCCCCATCCAGCAACGCATTGCTGGCTGGGGAATTCTGGGTGTTGAAGTCCACAAGTCTTAAAGGGACCACGTTTGGAGATTTCTTGTCTAGTGGTAGCCAATATTGGCAACCAGGTGTAGCAGTTTTAGGATAGGACAGGATGGAATGGAATGGAATGGAATGGAATAGAATAGAATAGAATAGAATAGAATAGAATAGAATAGAATAGAATAGAATAGAATAGAATAGAATAGAAAATAGAAAATAGAAAATAGAAAATAATAGAAAATAGAAAATAGAAAATAATAGAATAAAGAATAAAGAATAAAGAATAGAATAGAAAATAGAATAGAATATAGAATAGAAAATAAAATAGAATAAAGAATAGAATAGAATAGAAAATAGAATAGAATAAGGAATAGAATAGAAAATAGAATAGAATAGAAAATAGAATAGAATAAAGAATAGAATAGAATAGAATATAGAATAGAAAATAGAATAGAATAAAGAATAGAATAGAATAGAATAGAATAAAGAATAGAATAGAAAATAGAATAAAGAATAAAGAATAGAATAGAAAATAGAATAGAATAAAGAATAGAATAGAAAATAGAATAGAATAGAAAATAGAATCAAATAGAATAGAATAGAATAAAAATAGAATATGACAGAACAGAACAAAAAATAGAATAGAATAAAGAATAGAATAGAATAAGGAATAGAATAGAAAATAGAATAGAATAGAATAAAGAATAGAAAATAGAATAGAATAGAATAGAATAGAATAGAATAACAGATTTGGAAGGGACCTTGGAGGTCTTCTAGTCCAACCCCCTGCCTAGGCAGGAAACTCTACACCACTTCAGACAAAGGGTTATGCAACATTTTGCTTTGCTGGAAGTTCAGTTCAGAGGCAGACCCAGAATCAGTATGGCAATGGTTGAGGAAGTTGGACCAAACCACCAATCTTCTAAGAAAGGGGTCTCCAAACTTGGCAACTTTAAGACTCTTGGATTTTAACTCCCAGAATTCCCCGCCAGCATAGCTTAACTCTCTTGCAATCCCTTCCTCTGCAATCTCTCCTCTTTGGGGGAATAAGGGAAAAAGAAACAGACACGGCTGTCTGGGGAATTCTGGGAGTTGAAGTCCACAACTCTTAAAGTTGCCAAGTTTGGGGACCCCTGTGCTAAGACCTGGTGGGTTGTCCCCCTTGTCTCCAGACATCTTCTCCAGAAGTTTCTCCAGATAGCCTCTGGTGCTCTAGAGAAGCCTGAAGCCTCTGGACCCTTGGAGCATACCCTCCATCTGGATCAAGATGAGTCCTCCTTTCTTGATGACCCTTCAGTTGGCCAAGATCTTCTGTTGGTGGGCCTCTGTGCCCTTGTTCGTTTCTAGCTTCAGATGCGGATTCAGACATGATAGAATTCAGATTTCTAAATTCAGAAATCACAAGAGCTTCCCTGGATTGAGATGTCAAGTTGAGCTTTCTTGAGGCTGGGGTCTCACTTTCTCCTTTCCCCCCCTCCTTGTTGGCAGCTTTCCGGCAGAGCACGCATGGAATCCAGATGACTTCGGTCAAGAAAAGACGCAACCCAGATGATGAACTCCTGTATCTCCCGGTAAGTAAGGACCAGGACTTGGGTAAAAATGTGGAGGTGTAGTTGGGAGAAGGACACCTTGAGTTTTTTTTGGGTAACTGGCAAAGCAAGAGGGGACCTTCAGAAGCTGTGAGAACCTCTAAGCCAATTCAAGAAGGTTGGAAGTCAAGATCTCCTTCCATGCATGAGGTCTCCAGAACGAGAATTTGAAGGGAAGAAGGAACGAGGAGTTGGCTACTTAACTCGAAATGTGGACTTGGTGTCTTCTGAGTTTTTGGGACAGGTTGAGCTAAGCTTCTCTCCTCTTGGGAGCTAACGGGAGCCAAATTTGGTGAGGTTTTGGATGGGAGGAAAGGAAATTTCAGAACTGTAAGTATGTTGAGGAAGCCTGAAGAGCATCATGGAAGAAGGCAAGAGTGGACAACTTCCATAGGACCACCAAAAAGACGGCGTAGATGTAGACACGATGTCCCCTGGAGTTGAACTCAGACTGAAAAATACTTCCGTGTGTTGGAAGGTCTTTTCTGATAGAAAAGAATATTTGTCGTTGACAAGAGTTGAATTGTGGGGTCCTTGGTGCTCTCTGAGCTCGGTGGTTTTCTTGCAGATGTTTCGTGTCCCAACTAGGTAACATCATCAATGCTAGAAAGTGGTGGACCTGGTGGAGAGGAGGAGGAGGAGGAGGTCTGTGGGGTCCTTGAGACTCTTACGAGCTTGGTAGTTTCTTGTAGACCTTTCTTTACCCAACTAAGTAACTTCACCAGTGCTAGAAGGGAGTGGGGTTTATGGAGAGAAGTAGGACAACGACAATGGTGGGGCCATTGATGTTCTCTGAGCTGGGTGGTTTTCTTGCAGATGTTTCCTCACCCAACTAGATATCGTCATCAATTCTAGAAGGGCGGGAGGTTTGCGGAGTAGAGAAGAAGGAGGAAGAGTTATGGGTTTCTTGGTGATTTTCCTGCAGACGTTTCATGACCCAACTAGGGAACATCATCAGTGCTAGAAGAGAGAGGGGTTTGCATTGTTAACCTAGTTTAGTAATGACATATGTCTTCAAGAAAAACCATCAAGCTCAGAGAACACCAAGGACCCCATAATAGTCCTCCTCCTCCTCCTCCTTTTCCTGGCTCCTCTCTGATCTGGGTGGGTTTTCTGGCAGATATTTCATTACCAAACTAGGGAACATCATCAGATACAGATATTCAGAGTTGGTAGGGACCTTGTAGGTCATCTAGTCCAACCCCCCGCCCAAGCAGGAGACCCTGCACCATTTCTCACAGATGGCAGTCCAGTCTCTTCTTGAAAGTCTCAAGTGATGGCGCTCCCACAACGTCCGCAGGCGGCTTCAATTCCATGGGTGGATTGTTCTCACTGTCAGAAAATTCCTCCTTATTAAAGTTGTTGTTAGTTGCAAAGTCGTGTCCGACCCATCATCACAACCCCATGGACCACGTTCCTCCAGGCCTTGGTGTCCTCTACCATTTTCTGGAGTCCACTGAAGCTCACGACGACTGCTTCCGTGTCTCCGTCCAGCCCTTTCTCCTCTGCCGTCCCCTTCGTCTTCTTCTTTGGCCCTCCATCCTTCCCAGCATTCGGTTCTTCTTCTCCAGCGAGTCCTTCCTTCCTTCCCAAAGTCCTTGAGTTCCATCTTCAGCACCTGGCCTTCTAAAGAGCAGTCGCATCATCCATGCTGCACCCCAAAATTTTCATCCTCAGTCTTGGTGTCCTCCAGCAGTTCAGAATGGAGACCCCTTGAAATCTGGAGGACGCCAAGTTGGAGAAGGTTTGCCTGAAGGTCAGGAAGACGGTTGGGAAAAAAATGATCAAACAACATATAGATTTGAAACCTGAAATATTTTTTTTTTGGAAATGCTACCTGAAGGATACAGCAAAGAAAAAAACATATTTAATCCTACATGTATTAACAGCAGCTAGAATTGTATTTGCTCAGAATTGGAAAAGTGACAAAATACCGATAGAGGGGAAAGTAACTGAGAAAGTATTTGAATGTGCAGAAATGAATAGATGAACATTGGAAATCTTAAGAAAAAGAAGAATCTGAATTATTACATGGTTATGGGATTTATTTTATCAGTGGTTAGAAAATAAAACAAATTAAAATGGATTAGGTGAATATTAGATTGCTTATTGTACCCTGTGGCTATTATTAAGTGTTGTACCTTAATGATTCTTGATGAATGTCTCTTTTCTTTTATGGACACTGAGAGCATTTGCACCAAGACAAATTCCTTGTGTGCCCAATCACACTTGGCCAATAAAGAATTCTATATTCTATTCTATTCTATTCCAATTCCATTCCCATTCCTATTCATTATTCTATTCTATTCTATTCTATTCTATTCTATTCTATTCTATTCTATTCTTTGTATTTCTATTCTGTTCTATTCTATTCTCTGTTTATTCTGTTCTGTTCTATTCTAATATTATATTCTCTAGTATATTCTCTATTCTATTCTATTCTCTAATTCTCTTCTCTCTTCTATTCTCTTCTCTCTTCTCTTATTCTATTTGATTCCCCTCTTTTTAATTCTGTTCCTGTTCCTATTCTATTCTATTCTTCATTCCAATATCTATTCTATTCTATTCTTTTCT